ATGTTAAGGGACTTATTTACAAAAAAATGCTGCCAGGTAGAGGGGGGGACAAGGGCGAATGGGGGAAGAAATGAAGAGATTATGAAGTACAAACAGGTAGTTACAGGATAGCCATGGGGATGTAAAGAACAGCATAGGAAATGGAGTAGCCAAAGAACTTCTACACATCACCCATGGACATGAACAATGATGTGGGGGGGGTGCTGGGAAGAGGGGTGCAAAAGGGGAAATTGGGACAACTGTAATAGCATAATCAATAAAATATAATTTAAAAAAATTCATGTACCTAAGTTTCTTTTTCAAGGAAAACAACCAGTTAAGGAATAAATGTTTGATGAATGAAAAAAAAATCAGAAAATACACTGGGACAAAAAGAAGAAAATAGAATGTTTTTAATCTCATGCCTCAGAGAAAATATTTTGTTATATAACATTTCATATATTTATTATGTGGGTAAACAATATGTATTTGTAAATACATGATTCAAATTATAAAAATTAAGTTATAATATGTATGTGTATGTATACACATGTATATATGTATACATGTACACATGCATACATGTATGTATGTATACACATATATATACAAGATAGGACCCCTCAAAAATCCCCAAATTATCATCTGGAGGGTAGGCCCCTTGTAGCATGGGCTTCCTACACTAGGTGAGGGTTCTAGAAACTGATCTGTATCAGCATACCAGGGGCGTTGTTGTCAGAGGCTGCATTCAGCTTCAGTAAATTTTTTTAAAAACTCTTTCAAAGCATTTGCCCATTTCATTATGGGTGATTTATGAGCACACCTGCCCACACCACACTGAGTGTTCAGCAGTTTTTGATCCCAAAGGCATGAGCTCTGTGCCTCTCCCTGCTATTCACCTGATCTTGCCCCAAGTGGCATCTTTCTTGTTTCCCCAGATGAAAAAAGTCCTCAAAGGGAAATGTTTTGACAATGTGGAAGAGATGAAACAAAAAATGGAAGAAGCACTAAAAGGCATCAAAATCTACAGGTTCAGAAATTGGTTTGAGCAGTGGAAAAAACTTCTCCATAGGTGTATTGTATCAAATGGAGAGTATTTTGAAGGTAACTGAAGTTCAAAAATGTAAGAACACATGCACAGATTTTTATAAATAAATTCCTTTTTTGGGGGTCCCCTCAGTAATATATATATATCTACCTGGAAAACGTCCAGCCATTGTTAATATAATGAGAATGGTTTGCACTATAGCAATGTAACCTGGCAGCCACAGAGAGTAGACTGGAATGCACATACATGGACAATGACAACTTCACTGTACTATTCAGTGGGGGTGGTAGACGCCACTGAGTGAGCATGTGTACTGCGTGGCCAGAGCATTCAAAACGACTGAGTGAGTAGAGCAACAAATCTGCGTCAAATTTTGCATTAAGCTTGAGCATTCCTCCACAGAAACTATTTGGATGATTCAGAAGGCCAAGGCTATGGGCTAGTGATTGGCAGCTTCATCCTGACAACACGCCCACTCATGCACTGCATCTTGTGCAGTTTTTTGGCAAAACATCAAATCACCCAGGTGATTCAGCCCCACTGAAGTCCAGATTTGGCGCCCTGCAACTTCTGGCTTTTCCCAAAACTAAAATCACCTTTGAATGGGAGTAGATTTCAGACCATCAATGAGATTCAAGAAAATATAATAGGCAGCTGATAGTGCTTGGGAGGACTAAGTGAGATCCCAAGGTACTCACTTTGAAGGGGACTGAGGCATGATTGTCCTATGTACAATATTTCTTTTGTCTTGTATCTTCTTCAATAAATGTCTTCAATAAATGTATACACACACACACACGCACACACACACAGAATGAGAGAGAGAGAGTGATTTTGTGGTAAACCATTTACATAATAAGTTTCATTAGCTTCTAAGGACACTTACTTGAGCAAACATGTGACAGCAAATTTTCCTATATTGTCAAATATAAGGAAAAGACTGATCAGGATTACTTCACATTCCTTTTTGTGGTCATAAGTGCTAATTTTAATTGAAAGTAACTCATAGCCTTCATGGTATATTTTAGATCATTTTCAAGTGCACAAGTATACCTTTAAAAATCATATTATATATTTTCCTTTTATCAAATCATTTCTGGGTGCTAGAGTTATACTTTTGAAAGTGATGACCAGTGGCTTTCAGTTGTTAATTCTCTTTTAAAATGTTCCCAAATTTTGGAGAAGGTGAGGTTCTATTGGAAATCTTGACCTAATTGTCAGTTTGGTGTAAATTTAAATTGTGACCTTTTTTTTTTCCTCTTAATACTTCTTTAAAGAAAAGGCTGAGCCAAAGTTTGAACTTGCCTAGTATGAGGACTTCTTAAATCTGCTCAGCATCTAAGTACAGAACACACCCTTAAATGACACCTATTTAAAACACAGGGGAGTGGAGATGCCTCAGCTGGAAGGACCTAGGCAGAAAAAAGCCTCCAGTGGCCTCCTTCATTTAATCAGAGTCAGCTTTCCTTCTGGAGGTTCCAAATTAACAGTGGGGCAACTTTCATTTTTTTATTTTTACTTGAACAAGCAGGTGTTTCTTTCATGAGGCCCATATGTTTCTTCACAAGCTTTATCCAAAGCACCTACCGTACAGCCCATGGTCATGTGGCACACAGCCCATTTCTGTGCAGGGCTTTCCTTTTTATTCCAAGGAGAGTATGTGGAAAATGGATGTCAGTGTGCCTGTGGATGTGCACATGCTGTGTGTGTGTGCCTGGTGTGTGTGCATGCGCGCGCGCTGCGGACACAGCGCAGAAGAGCAGCAGCGCTCTCTTTGGGTGGGAAGAGCCTCGCTCCTGATGCCAGCAGCCAGAGTGAAGAGGAGCTGTCAGTGAGGCTGTAGGTCCAGCTGACCCTGCGCCAAACTCCTGCCTGGGGCACAGTTCCCAGCAGGCTGCCACGTGGCTGTGGCAGACACCGGGAGCAGCTGTCTCTGCCTGGCGGACAGGCAGTAGTCCAACCAGGTGGTTTTCTCAAGTTAAAAATAACAGTAATTAGAAGAAAGAGAATCACTCAAAGTGGACTGCCCCTTGTGCAGTCAGGCTCATCTAGAGGAACCCAAAGGTGGGGGGCAGGGTGAAGAGGGGAGTGTGTGGAGGGAAGAAAATAAAGAGGCTTCTGCTGCAACTGAGGGGAAGTGGGGAATACCTGGAAGCCCAAAGAAAACTGGCCAAGATGTGCGCTAGAATTAATTTCTATGAAAGCATAGCTTTGTGATCATTACTAAAGTGCAGGTTGCTCCAGAGAAAGCATATGCTGTTTTTAATGAAAGAAAAAAAGCTTTCGTTTCAGAACAAGTGGCTGCTCTGCTAGTTCTTACAGGGGCAGTAAATAATCTAGAGTAATATATATATATACACACATACATATATATATACACACATATATGCATATACATGCTGTTTACTCTTACGAGCTTGAAAATGAACCTGCCACCCCCACTCATCCTATACGCCCCTTCGTTTCCATGCTCTCATGGAAGTGAAAGTATGAGCTCTTTTTTGTATATTGGCTAGAAATACAAGACTACGTTACCGTACAGTGCACTATTCCAGAAATTCGTACAAATTGTATAGTTAATATATACATATTTGAAGAACACCAACAAATACAGAAGTTGCAACAATTTGTAAGAGTACGTACTCTATCATTTTTCACTTGGTTTTCTATCATTTGCAATATAATTCTTTGTGGTGACTTTCCACCAAAAAGTGTGGTTTGTGGCCTGGCAACATGAGAATCAGTTCATTAGACACGCAACCCCAGTCCAGAGCTACTGAATTAGAACCACATTTTTGACAAGAGCTGCAGGTGATTAGCTCACAGTAAAATTAGAGAAACTTTCCTGGTACCTTTAGGAAAACTTAAGTTCTATAGTTCGTTACACCTATTTTCTATTTCAGGCAACACTGATTGTAACAGTTACCAGGGGTTGCTGAGTAATCAAACCATCAGTGACTATCTCAACCTGCATGGGAGTTTTGAAGGAAAAGTTAAAAACCTTTCTAGGTGTTTTTGGCAGGAACAGACAACACTTAGAGAAATACACTTATAAGAATAATAAAAGCAAAGTAGTACATATTTACACATTTGGAATGATCCCTAGTTTACATGTATTGGCTTTAGTCACATTAGACACAGTTCTATGACACTAGGACATTTACTTCAAGAAAATGATGGCATCATGAAGTATCTCATTAAAGGTATTGATTAGCTGTCATAAAGTCAGCTCAGAATGACATTCAGTGCCAATTAACTTGAAGCCATATGTCTCAGATAAAACTGTATTAGTTAATCTTAAATTTAGTCTATTAGATAAATAGACTATTAGATAGCTTAGATAGCTTGACTTAGTCCATTAGGAAAATTTGATAAATTAAATATTGTCTATTTGATAAAATTGAAAAAAAAAAAAAGATGCAGTCATCTTCCTAAATGGCAACAGTCTTTTCAAAGGATAGTGAAAAAATGACTCCAAAGTTCAGCTTTATGATAAGTGGACAACACGGGATTTTAGGCAGCCTCGTGACCCGTGATGAGGAAGTCGCCAGAGAGAGCAGCAGACGGTGAAGCGCGATGCCTGAAAGAGCTGGACACTGGGAGGGGCAACGTAATCTCTGCCTCTGTAATCTGAGCCCATATCCTCCTATTGACCTAGCCTCTCAGCTTCACCTAACTCAGTGGAAATTCTGTACATAAAACAATGACAGGATGTCTCTGGAAAAGTTGCAAAATGTCAGGGTTCAAAACACATTGTTCATAAACTCATGGAATCTTTGCATGCTGCCCACCAAATAAAAAAGTATTTCAAAAATATCTAAGGAAATGCCATACTTATCAAATTCAATAGGCTTTTACTTAAAAAAAAATTAAGCAGACATAGCTTTTTTTGTAGATAGAAGTTTTTAAGCCTAGATATTCTTAGGGAAAATGTTAATGAACTACTGCAATGGTTCTCAAATTCTAGTATGTGTCAGAATCATCTGAAAGGAAAACCCGAGTTCTGGGTCCTACCCTGATTCTGTAGGTCAGAAGTCAGGCCAAGAATTTGTGTTTCTAATAAGTTCACAGACAATGGTGATGCTGCTGATCTGGGGACCACACTTTGAAAGCGACTGAATTAAGGTAAGACATATTACAACTTACTTTAATAGGCCATTTTATATTTATTTATCCTACAAACATTATTAAACATTTCCTGTGTACCCAGAACAATGTTAGTTGCTAGAGATGAAAAGTTGAGTAAGTCAGCCTTGCTCTCCAAGAGGTCATGGCCCAGCGGGACCAGCAATCCCAGGGAGGGTCCCTACTCTCCTGCAGTATTAAATGAGAGGCGGAAGCACAGCACTTGCCCTCAGTACTGGAGGAGGCTAGTGTCCCCCATTCTATGTGCCTCCACTTTCTTCAGACCTCAGGAGGCCTTTGACCGGTACAGAGAGTGGACAAACATTATTTCCTTGCCTTTTCATCCAAATCAATGATCTCAAAATAATATTTAGCTGAGAGAAGGAAGTATACAGGCAAGGAAACAAACACACTCTTGTTTTATAATTACATACAGGTGATACATTGGAGTGTGATTACTATGTGGAAGCAAATAGATCTTTAAAAATCTACTACATTTTTGAAGTAATTCTACTTCCAAAGATATATGCCTTTGACTATTTAAGCCTTAAAAAAGACTTCGGGTCTCCCAGTTGCATTAGTAGCAAGAGGTGTGAGAGTGCTGAGTCACCGAATAGGGCATAACTCCCAGTGTCCACTTCAAACGCGGGCATAGAGAATAATGAACGTGGGATAATCTCCAAGAAAGCAGAGGGGGGTCCACAGAGAGCAATGGATGGGAGAGGGAGGTCGTCCAAGACAGCAGACCAGGATCTAGTCTAAGAACTTTCCCGTCTCCACACTAGGAGGCCTTTCCAATGCCTGACCAGCAAGCTTTTACCATTGCTACAGATAGGCATCCACTGTGTGCCTCCCATTGTCATTCAGTGGCTCCTGACCTGGCTCTTATTCTGTTCCTCTTCCATCTCTGGTCGAGCATATATGTTGGGGTTAGAGTATGAAGGGGGATGGGGTTAGATAACTTGCTTTTTAGTTTATAAGTTGTCAAACCAAATGAAGCTACATCTGGTCTTGATGAAGTGTTGAGCATTTCATTCAGAAATCTTTGGACTTTGAGTTAGCTACCGTAACTGGATCAACTTTGAATTGTTTCTCTTGAGGTGGTGAGTATGTTTTATATGAAAGGTATGCATGCATATTTGAAAATGAGGAAGAGTTCATTCATGGCAAAGATATGTGCTACCCTTCCATATTGTAGAAATGTAATTGGGAAATGTCTTTCCAGCTCCTCTTACGTCTATCTAGGTGGACCGCCTAAATACTTATCAATGAAATGCAGGAATTGCATTGTTATAATCAATGAGTATAAGCAATGTGCATTTCTTCCTGGCCTAGATGGCCAAATGTCATTATAATATGCCACTTGGGCTCCTTTTCTCCATTCACCTGGTAGATGTTAATATCCAGGTGAGTATGAGAGTATTGCTGATGGTAGAGATAAATGATGGGGAAGCCTGGGTCCCTGAGTTACTACTTGAAAGAGAGTCATTAGACCACATCCACACCAGTCTATCGAATGAGGAATACACTTTATTCTCTAGATGACATCACTGACATTTGAGAGTTTATCTGTTAGTATTACTTCATTGTTTAAGGTAGGTATTTGTTATTTATTTTTTTCACTTAAGCATGAGTGGGGGTTCAGGAGAAAAAGAAGAGTAATATTAAATAAAATGAAAGTACTATATTTTCTCTACATATCCAAATTGTAGGATGGGCGCTATTTCGTGGGTTTATTACACAAAGATTATGCCTCTTATAATATCCTAAGAGGCAGCTATTATTAGCTCTATTGTATAGAAGAAGGAACCGAGACTTAGATAAATCTTGTAATGTGCTTAGATCATGGGTAGTAGAATCAATACTCTGGACACTCTAAGTCCAGGACTCATATTATTTCCCCTCTCCCATTCTACCTTCCTGCCAGTATTACCAATATGGCCAATATGTGTGTGAAGTTGGCTTCCTGCTGAAGATAAAGTACTTTCACTCAGCAGATTTCTCTATTTTTATCATCTCTTTTAAGAAAAGGAGACTTCGACTAAAAATGGTTGAAATGAAAAATTGATCTGAGAACATACGTATAAGCTAAAACAAATAGAAGAGAGGGGGAGAGTTGAGACTGGAGCACAGGCAGACTTTGGAGACCTCACTAAGGCCACGCCATTCCTGAAAGCAAGGAGGGCATATCTGGCATGCACCAACTTAACCCCACATCAAGATGCCCTCTGGCTAAAGTTCACAGAGAAGGTCACTGGATGCGGGGCTAGAAAGGTAAAATTGCCCTGCAATATTATTTGGTTAATCATAACCAACCAACTGAGAAACACAACTATTTCTTCTATAGAAAGATGTTGCTGCCAAGTATAGCTAGTCATTAGAGACTTTCATTTGGGGTAATATGCTTAATCTTTTGATATGTTTCATGTGGGCCCAGTTTTGTCTTAATTAGGGCAGTTGCCCTTAATTCACTCTTAGCATAGTATGGGATTAATTTTTTTTATCCTTGCCTGAGGACATGCTCATTGATTTTAGAGAGAGAGGAAGGGAGGGAGAGAGAGGGGGAGAGAAATATTGATGTGAGATAGAAACATTGATTGATTGCCTCTCCTACACCCCTGAACCCCCTGGCCAGAGACCAAACACTGCAACCCTGGCATGTGCCCTTATTAGGAATTAAAGCCATGACCTTTTGGTTTATGGGATGATGCTTTAACCAACTGAATCACACTGTCCAGGGCAGAATGGGATTAATCTTTAAGAAAATAAGAGGCATGCTAAATACAAGTCCTATTTTTATGTTAACCATAGTTTTCACTGGTTTATTTAATTAAAATAATTTGATATATTATTTTATTTAATGAAAATATTTAATAAAATTCTCCTAAAATTCTCCTAAAAATCCTCATTAGATTATTGTGTCTATTTTAATATGCAATTATCTGGAACATAGGAGATTGGACTTTTCATGGAGTTTAGTATGACTTTCAAATTAAAAAATTTTAGGCTTGCCCTGGCTGGGTAGCACAGTTGTTTGGCACATTGTTCTAACGTGCCAAGGTTGTGGGTTTGGTCCCCAATCAGGACACATACAAGAATCAACCAATGAATACATAAATAAGTGGAACAACAAATCAATGTTTCTCTCTCTCTCTCCCTACCTCCTTCCCCCTTCCTCTCTGTCTCTCTGATATCAATTTTTTTAAAAAATAAATTTAGGCTTCCTCAGAAGCTAACACTGAAAAGGAGATATAAACTTATAATAAATCTGTCTCAAAAACTTCCTACATGTGACCAAGTAGGAAATTAGCTACTGCATGCCCAGTGTGGTATGACGCATGAGAGAATAAAGGGACAGATACTGATGTCTTAACTGAAGTCATACATTTAGGAAAGGTAGTTTCAGTTCTTAGGTTAGAGAGTCAAACTTATTTTTAGTTGATACTTTCTTGACCCTTATTTTCAATGTTAAAATACCTATATTCCAATGCATTGCTGCCTGCAATGAACTGAATATTTGGGCCCCTCCCCCAAATTCATGTTGAAACCAGTACCCCAGAGTGGGAGTATTTGGAGGCAAGCTTTAGGAGATCATTAGATGACAAGGGTAGAGCCCTCATGGATGGGATTAAATTCCCTTATTAGAAAAGGCCAGAGTGCTAGCTAGCTAACTAGCCCTCTTTTCACTATGTAGGGGTACAATGAGAAGTCAGCAGCCCACAAACCAGGAAAAAAGTTTTCACCAGAACCCAACCATGCTGGCACCCTAATCTCAGACTTCCAGCCTCCAAAATTGAGAAATAAATTTCTGTTTTCTATCAGCCACCCAGCTCATGGTACTTTGTTATAGCAATCCAAACAGACCAAGACGCTGTCTTTACTCCCAATATATGCAACTGTGCCCATAATCCCAGTTAGGGTCTATGAGTCTTCACACAGGCAGAATAAAAAATATGTCACCTTTATAGATTTGATTTATCTGGGCCCAGATGGCGCTAGATGAAGCAATCTGAAGGAAGAACTATGAAGGAAGTAATCTTACTCCGTGGTGCCTCGGATGACCTCCTCCATTCTTTTGGTCCTCAGTGGCCTCCCATTCCCGATACTCCAGTATCTGGGGGGTTTGTCCTTCCCTTAGTGTTGTGCACAGCTCTGAATGGATGTTTCTAATTCCCACAAGACGACAAAAACCTCCTGCCCATAGACGTGCCTTTCCCAAGGCCTTGGGATTCGCAGTCAAGGGACTCAGCATTTCAACATTGTGGATGTTGTTCTAGACGTATGTCCTAGTTTCCACTCTAGAACTGGGTCCTCTCCCTAGTGCACTGAGCGCTTGCTTTGCTTTCTTACTGGTATTGCCTAGTTTATGTTCATTATAACTCTAAATGCATATATTGCTCTTCTTTTGTCATAATTCATCATTTCTAATGCTTTAAAATTTTTTTAACATTTCTCACTTTTATCTTTTCACATGTGTCTTCAGGCCAGCTGGCATTTGTGACATGGTTAGCTTTATTCACACTGGTTGTTATCCCCGGTGTCATAACTAGACCGCTGCAATCCCTAGAATTTTTCTATCAGCAAGCTAGTTAGGACCATTCAAAAATAAGGGATGATTAACCATTGTCCAGTAGCTTTAGTTGGCATTTCTCAGTCAGCTCATGAAAGCATCACCATCAGCATTTGTAGGAAGAATGGACAGGTTAGAAGAAATGCCAAAGATGAGAATGAAGTGTCTGGGATGTACTTCTCTACCAATACCATTCATTGTAGAGCAGTGATTCTCAACCTTGAGTGTGTGTCAGAGTGACCTGCAGTTTGTTAAACACATACCACTGGACTCCAATCCAGAGTTTCTGCTTCAGCAGACCTGGTGTTGGGCCCAGGAATGTGCATTTCTAACATGTATCCAGGCGCTTCTGCTGGCCCAGGGATCACATTTTCAGAACCAGTGTCATAAAGAATGACTGAAAATATGAATGTTTCTCTATCCACTGGCTCCCCATGCACTTGGCACTGAGTCAGCCCCCAGATGCGTTTTCCTGGAATGCTCGGCCAGAGTTTTCCGTTCCCTGGGCCATAAAGATGTCTCTTTACCCTCCTCCATGGATTGCCTTCCCTTTCTTCCGCGGCTTGTAGCCAACCCCTTGACCTCTCTGCGCAGAAACACTGGCTCTACAGATACCCTTCAAATCCTGACTGGTGCTTGCCCTCTTTGTTTCTTTTTCCACAGGGGTTATTCACAACTACTAGCATGAATAGGTTGCAAAGAGGAGGGGCCTCTGTGAGGTGGGTGACCAGACCTTTGGGGTTCATTTGAGAGAGCCCAGTGGGCTGGGGAGAGGATTTTTGTGGGAAAGACTGCAACTCAAAATAATAGTCCCCATTTTCACACAGCTGCATGTTCCTTCCCTGGTTAACCTTAATTTTTATCTTGGGTTTTCCTCTTCTTGAATTGAGGAGCTGGAAATCTGTCCCAAATCTTTCTCTTCCAAATAATTAATTCCCACATGCTCCAAAAGTGAAGCAATAAATATTTCTCTTGCATATAATAAGAATAAATTTCACTTTCACAAAGCAGATGTTTATAAACAAGGAGTTTGCTTTATTTTGCACCTGATGAGCTTCCCTTGACTCTCGGCCCCTGTCTGCTTACAGTAGACTAGTCATGCTCTCTCCGTTTAGTAAACTGTACAATCCAAAAGTCATTCTAGTTTAAACTAAGCACTATTGTGTGTACTGTTCAATGCAAAGCTGCTTCTTCTAGATCGTGTGGTGTTCTTACCCAACTGCACACAGCTACAGAAAGGATATTTTGGAAGAAGGGAAAGGCCAAAACCTAGCAGTGTCCTAGGTCTCTGTTAATACTCAATGTCTTGATGGTTGTCCCCTGTAGTGTGGCTGGAGCCCACTGCTGGCCCTCTCATGAGGCACATTGGACACTCTTAAAACCTTCATCTGAAACTCCTTAGTAACTAATCGGAAAGAGTAATCCTGATAGGATTGGGCTTGTTTGATTACCCCAACTCTCTCTACTGGCCCACTATGGGTTTTCTTCCAATCAGATCACTATTAATTAGATCTCCTTGCCTCCCCGGGCAGCTTTTTTGGTTGACAACAAGCATATTCATTGTCCCAGCGAATACCTGCCCTCACTCTATGTCCACAGGAAGCTTGGAATGCCCACTGCGCACACACGGAATTGTCTTTGCTGCCTTCCACCTGGCTCTGTCACTCTGCCCTCTTTCTGTTGTCCTTCCCTATCGCCCAACTACAGACCTTGCTGGATCTGCAGCTCTGCTAAATAGCAAATACCAGGAAAGATGCAGCACTATATTCACAATCACCCACAACCTCAGGAAAAAATTCATCCACTGTTTCCAGAAGGAGGCCATACCCATCATCCTTTATCTTCTGTTCCTGACTCTCATTTCCTCAGACTTCTCAGATATGTATATATATAGGCCATGGAGTGGGGAGTAGGAATGGAGGGAGTGGTGGATTCGAACAATTCACACCTTTTACTTTATTTGCTCACTCTTCCTGGGGACCTGCATTAGAGTGTCTGGCTACCTGGAAAAGGTGCTTCATTGAACTTTAGAAGTTAAATAATAGAAATATATTTGTCCTCCTCTGCATTTTCTCTACATATGAGTGGTAGGGACGAGCAGGTAACCTCATGCATTGACAGGTCATACATTCAGAGATAGTTCATAGCATTTGGTTATAGGTTTTATTTTCTGGTGAGCATGAGTCTGCAGGAAACACGCTCCTCAACTAAAGTCTACCAAATTTACATTGTAAATAGTTGAGAACCTGTTTTTGAGCCAAAGCAAATTAAGATAACTCATTAGACCCATCTGAGTACCTCCCAAATCTTAGACATCTGCGAGTCACTGGCTAGATCAGTGATTTTCACATGATCTACAGGAGTTTTTAAAATATGCAATACCTGACTATTTAGTCAGGGGCACTGACCTCTTTTCCCTTAGATAGTCAAATTTTAAAAACATGACAGCCAAATATAAAAAATAAAAAATACAACAATAGCTGTCTGGTGTGAATGAATCAAAATTATACCTAATTTTTTTCATTGCATCAGCAGAACTTTAGTAATTAGTTTGTGTGCCATGAGATGAAAAATGTTGAAAATCACTGGACTAGATAATAAGAACACGCGTGCATGTGGTGGAAGCACTGGGGTGGGGCAGAGTCAGGAAACATTTCTTAGGGAAATCTGCATGTCAAAATGTGAAGACCAGCTGGCCAGTGTGCCAAGAGGCCACACACAGTGATACTTTTATGTCCCAAAATATCCTAGATGATAAATGTTCTACTTCAATCATTGCAATTGTGAAACTTCAGGGTGCTTATTTGTGTCCATGTCTCAATTTAAGACACAAGCACCTGGAGGGCCAAGTCTGCACTTTGGCTACTGCAAGAGCCTCAGACCTCACCTGGCAAACATGGGAGACATGGTAAGGATCAGTCATTTGTTGGAGCGCTACTATTATTAATAGAATGCTAAGTAACAGTCCAAAAATTGTTAAACTTTAAAAATTATTTGACATAACAAAATGTAATCATTCTGTAACTACTGATATAAAAATTTCACCCATATCAACCATTCACAGTTGAAATTAAAATGGAATCTCTCTCATAATATTAGAAGAGGAAAATGAATGATTTTGCATTAATGAGCTTCCTGGTTTATTACTTAATAAATTACAGTTGGTTACAAGAAATATTTTAGAAGATTTTAACTGTTATATATACTGCACTCTATGCATATTGATGTTACGTGAAATTATTTTCACTTTTTTATAAATTACAAATGAAAAATAATTTAAAGAATTATAAAGATGCAAAATGATGGATCTGGTGACCTGATGATTTTAAGATTATGTCAAATATATCTCAAATAAATCATGGTTGTTGTATTGTTGTATCTTGTTAAATTGTATGAAGATTTATTTAAGGCCAATGTTGATAACATTGTAGATAAATGAACCATGTTCTTTGCGTGGATGGTTTTATAGCAGAGGCTCACAGTGGTAAATTTAAACTCTGTTAGAATTTCCATTATAAAGTTACAAAGGTATCTGTTTCTTCAGGTTAAAATTTAGTAGCAAATCCTAAAACTACAACTGCCTCATCAATTTAAAATAATTATTTTACCCTGGTAAAAAGATGCAGAGTTACAAAAGAAATTGGTACATCTTTATGTTCTAGCATTATTAAAAGATAATGTCTTTTACAACACTATGATTGCAAATACAAGTAAAAAATGCTGAAGTCTAGCCTGGGTTAAGTGCTAACCTGTAATTTGAAGCCTCTGGGACTCTCTCTTCCTTACTTTTCAGTGCAATAAAGAATTGGGAGAGGAAGATGTACAAAATATTTCTATCTCTATCTATCTCTATCTACCTATGTACCCATGATCCCATGATCTCTCAGTTATATTGTATCGTCAGTCATCACCACCTAATATAGTTGTACTAACAATAGCAGACTAAACAGAACTAAAAAGATATTCTACATATTTCCCTACCAAAGTACTACCTTTTAAAAAACTTGACTACAGACCATGAGAATCCATTTTCTTCTTTAGGTCACCTGGAAGACCATCCTGGAATAGCTCATTAATTATTTCAGACTCCTTAGGCAAACACATCTTTAAAAAACTTAAATTGGCAAAATATATAACTTTGTAAATTAGTTACATTAGAGTTATAATATGCACACTGTAAATAAAAATTAATGTTTAGAGTACACAAGGATGTTATACTGTTATACTTTGCTATAGTTTAGATTTTGAAAAGTTAATTTCTATAATAGACTACAACTACTTTAAAAATGACAGTAATGCCTTACCCAAAGTACTTTATCATGAAGGCAAACACATTCATAGGGGACCTAATTTTCTATGTGGCTTCTTTCCATAAATCAGTATCCAAGGAGGCCTAAAGTTTCTTCAGCTAAAAACAGAGTGGGTTGCTTTAAGGAGTGAGATTCAGTCCCTTCCCAATGGTCACCAACTACAAGACAGGACCATCTCTATTGTTTATTACAACATCTAAAGACCACACTAAGGGCTTAATTGTAAGTCGTGTTGTGTTAAATACTTTCTGACAGGACTTAGACTTTAAAAGAATACAATCACCTTGAATATCAGGGCATGCATTTAGCACATATACACACATACACACACATACACATATATTATACATATTAATCTAAGAGGTAATTGCACTTCACAAATAGATAGTGACTTTTTCATGTTTGGCTGAAAAGGGAGGTAATAATAAATCTCTCTCAGGCTATTATGGTTTAAGCCAATTTTCTTTGATTTTCTAAATCCACTGCAGGGCAAAAGGACTGCTGATTGCCGTTGTCTAACTGCCTGTTTTCTATTGGATGACTATTAAATTTATTCTTAGTTTTATTTTTTGCCAAGAGAACATTGTTGTTTTTTTTTTATGTTTGTTTCAGGTATGATACTGAATTAAAGAATCTTTGCAGCTTTTTTTCTGTATACACTATACCTTCATTAGTTTATGAAACATATGCTAATAATGTTCTGACTGATTTTTCCCCAAGACAATAGCTAGACTGATTATTGTTATTATTATTTTTTATACAGGGAACATCTTGCTTGTTTTTTACACTATAGACTGGGCTTCACTGTAGTACAAAGTGAGCTAGTCCCCTCCCATGTTCTGCTTTCCTGTCTCACTCATACTTTGTCAAACCTTTGCCTATCACTTTGTGCGAAGTCTGTTTTTGCAAGTGCCTCATGTAGCAGTTATCCTATGTGAACCTCTCCTATCTACTCTTCAGTTTTCAAGGTCACTCTAGTTCCACGTCTCCCTCCTGACATGCTCGTAGTGCTCACGAAGGGCAGCGTTCTTTGCAAAGTTGCTCAGCGGCTAGTGCTCCCTCAGACGGCGTCTGGTTAAAACACCAAGGAGGCTGAGCACAGAACTGAGCGTGTATAATAGCATTCTCTTGATTCCCCACCAATTCGACATTAATCTAGTCCTAGACATTTTGCAGGGTAGGATCCTAAAACTAGTTATGTATCTAACAAATGATGGTATCGCCTCTATTTTGGTATAGATACCCACACCATGTGAGACTAAACCAAAACCTTTGCAGTTGGGTAGATTTTTGCCTCTGATTTCCTCCAGCCTGTTGTAAGAGCTGACAAAAAGACATTTTCACAGGAAAAGCATGCAGCTTCAGCAGGCAAGGGGCCCACGCCCCCTTACGGCTTTCTCCTAAGGCAGGGCGAGCTGCTCATCTTCTCCTGCCTCTCTGGAGTCCATGATATTCATGGGGCCAGATTTTTCTAGGAGGGTAGATTATTCCATCTAAAGGCAGAAACCCAGACCCCATTGTCCTCCCTGGTTGTCCCAGTGCTCCTGTAAAAGCCCACCTGGTCCCATCTGCCTGCTTGAGGCAGCTCCAGTTGGTCCTTTGTTACCTCTCTTTTTCTTCCCCAGCCTTCACCTTGGGTCTTCTGCCTTCAATCTCCTACGGCCAAAAGTGCCCGGCAGAGACCGCTTCCCCCTCTCAGCCTCCAGACACACCTGACATTGCTGGAGCTAGGATTTATATGGAGAGGGGAAATGGGTAGCTTAGCCACTTTTTGAACTCAAGTTAAAATCGCATGCTCCAGGATACCTTACCAAAGCGGTCCTGTGTTGCTGTGATTCCTATTTTTCTATTATTCCTTGGGTGTATAGTAGCCTCAGGGCTGTGCCTAGGAAAGAAAGATCAAGGCAGATTACAAACACTACAGAGTCCCTAATTGTAAACCCACAAAGGAAACAAATTTCACTTGAATGTTTCACACTGACCCCCAAATAGGGGTTGAGCGGATATTGTTATTGGGAAACAATGATCAGATAAGGAGATGAAGTGGGAAATTTTATCTAATATAGTCCATTTGCCCCATTTTATTAAGAAAAAAATATTTTGCAATTAAACAGGTTTTTCCAAGAACTTAAAGTGTCCAGTAGCTGAGTAAACAAATACCTAGTTATGATTAAGTATGAAAATTTCTCTTCTGGGAAAAAGTTCACATGCTGGTGGTTGTTTTTTTCTGGGAAGAAATGTAGAGTTTGGGGTTTTCTTTTCTATCCACGGGCAGAGGAACCGGAAACAGCATACGGCGGGGCGGGGGCGTGGGGGCGGTGCTCCATCGGCTCTGTGGGAGCAATGGGCCTGGGGGTGAAGCCCAGCAGAAAAAGAGGTGACAACGAGTGCGGATATGGGGGTCGGAGGGGCACTGCCGCTTCTTGGCCTGCTTTTGCCACTTTCCCTTTCCTCTGTCCCTACTTGATTTCATGATGTGTCACACTTCTGATGTGTTCATCTATTATCCTAAAGAATCCTTCTTGACCTCCTTTTCCCCACTAACTTTATTGTCAAGATTTGGTCCTAGCCGCTTTCCCACTCTTCATTCTCTTCTTTGGAAACCTCATGTACTACCATCCATGGTTAATCCAGGTTTTAGAGATACTTTTCCATTTGTTTGTGTCTTCAGTTTCTTTCTCAAAGTCATGTAGTTTTCAATGTACAGATCTTTCACCTCCTTGGTCAAATTTATTCTGAAGTATTCTCTTGGCTTTGGTGCTATTGCAAATACGATGGTTTTCTTTATTTCCTTTTCAGGTGTTGTTATTGTATAGAAACTCAACTGATTTCTGTATGTTGATTTTGTATTGTGCAACTTTACTGAATTTTTTGTTTAGTCTAATAGTTTTTTTTTGGTGGAGTCTTTAGGATTTTCTCTATATAAAATTATATCGTCTATAAAAAAGTTATTTCTTCCTTTCCAATTTGAATGTCTTTTATTTGCTTTTCTTGCCTAATTGCTCTGGCTAGGACTTCACTACTGTGTTGACTAATAGTGGTGAGAGTGGGCCCCCTGCTCTTCTTCCTTGCCTTAGAGGAAAAGGCTCCAGCTTTTCACTTTTGAGCACGGTGTTAGCTGTGGGTTTGTCATATATGGCATTTATTGTATTGAGGTATGTTCTTTTGATTTCCAGTTTGTTGAGCATTTTTATCATGAAAGGATTTTCTATTTTATCAAATACAATTTCTGCATCTATTGAGATGATCATATCATTTTTATCTTTCATTCTATTAATATAATATATCATATTTATTAATTTGCATATGTTGAACTATCCGTGCATCCCAGGGATAAATTCCACCTGATCATGGTGTATGATTCTTTTAATATGCTATTGAATTCAGTTTACTAAATTTTGATAAGAATTTTTGCATCTATATTCACAAAACTTGTAGTTTTGTAGTTTAGTGTTGTAGTTTCCTTGGTTTGGGGGAAGCTGGAGTTCTCACAGTGGGAGGAGAAAGATGCATATATACAAAGAGGAAAGTTGAGAAAGAACCCTGTGGCATTAGATTAAAATTACAACTATCAATGTGAACTCATGATTTGTTTTAT